ATAAGCAGGCGAAGGAGTTGCTAAACATTATTAGAGGTATACATTTATAAGTCAAACAGTCGAAACGATTTAATTTAATAACACCTAAATTTATGTAATGCTATATTTTATATATATGCAACGATGCAATTCCGGTTCTTCTTCTTTAACCATACAATATGATTCTTTTCATGATTTGTGTAATCAGTCGGATACTAATATTGAACTCAAGCTTTATATTTTACATGTGTCCCTTGGTACATAAAAACATATTTAAAATAAAAAAAACGGTAAGAAATACGTATATTCATATATTTTTTATAACTACAATTAACAAACAATAATTTATATTAATATTTATATTATAGATAACAATTCAATTATTCTATTGCAATTTCTTTATAACTATATGCTAATAAAATGAGCTTCTTATTTATCCTTTCCTCATTTTTACTATTCTGGTACTTGTAGCAATACATTATACACAGAGTATGATGTTTTAAGCAACTGAAATAATAAAGACATTTAAGTCTATTATATTAGTTAGATATAAAAATATTTTTTATAAAAATGTTCATATTTATAAATTAGTTAATGGTAATAGATTTATATATGTAATTTTAATAGATATATTTACAAGGATAATTTTTATTATTTAAATTAAATGTGTGTGTGTATATGTGTTCGTGTTTATATGTACGTGTGCAATAGAAAAAATCATTAGAATTTTATTCGACATTTTGATTATTTTAACTTCCTTTAGATTAACGCATTCAGATAAATTTTTACACTAACCACTACAAAGGAATCCAAATTTATATTCAGAATATATATGGTAGAAATTTCAATAGGTGTCATTGCACGCTTCATAATTATTAAGATGCTTTTTTTAACACTATTTTCCACAATTGGCCATTCCATTTGAAAAATGCTGTTTGTTAATTGTAAACTCTACAAAAAATATATATGTAATATATTGTTTATGGGGGGGGGGATACGTTTTTTCAACCTGTTTAATTAAAGAGATGTACCTTTAATTTGACTCTGTTTCCAAACCAACAATAAATAAATATTTGCGTTAGCATGCATATTGTGTATATAATTGTCAGAACATGATTTGTTCCCAGAGCGGACTTAGTCAGTTGATACAAATTGAAACACGTTACCATTGTACTAGCCATAAACTGCAATCCGATAATTTGCGTAAATCTTGTATTCACCATCCGCGCAAATCTGCAATCAAATTCTTGTTTTTAGAACAGCATGATATTTATGTAGTGAGCTAATAGAATTTTGATTGTAATAACTAATACATGAATTTTTTAAATTATGTTTATACATTAAAAATTATTGAAACGTGTGTACAATAGATTAACTGATTAAAACATCAATAAAATATTGGTGAAAATAATGCTAAATAATACTTAATATTCCACTGTTAATATGATAACTAACTCAAAAATTCGATTATGATGGCGTATGCAGTAGCCCAAACTAAATTGATTGCACAAGAATTTTCTTAGGCGATATTCCAAGATCTCGATCTGACAACATATGTGCATCAAGAACCCACATAAGAGAGTATCGCAAGCAACATTCACAACAATACAGTGGAACGTGCTTAATACTTGCACAGCGTACGTAAAACAAAACGTCGCGTAAGATGAATAATCGTATGGTATCCATCCTCTATATGTCAATTTTCTGTGTCTAAAGTCAGTGAGCAATGAAGTCAAAATTAGGGACATCCATGACGTCACAATCAAGATTGTGTAGCGTAACGTATTGTTCCTAGAAAGCGACCAAACATGTTAATTGTTATGTGTGATATTTCTAATGCACATAAGTTTCGATACGAAGTGCTTGAGAAAACGATTTTATATTTATTCTTTATCATGAATAATCTGTGACAGTAGTGCTAAGTGTCTGCGACAATATTGTTAATTAGGTTTTATTTTAATTTATATATATAAAGGAAGATGTCCTGACTGACTCACTCACTCACTCACTCACTGACTCATCAACGCCCAGCCCAAACCCCTGAACCGAATTTTTACCAAAAGTATATGAAATAGGGGTAGAATTTTCCGGGGAGTGCCACTATGTGTATAGTTTTTTGTTACCGATTTTCTGGAAACCGGTTTTTCTAATTTTTTTAATTTTTCGGGAAATAATTCACCGAATTTCAAAGAATTGTAGATCAAACACGGGTAGAATTTTCCGGGGAGTGCTATGAAGTGTATAATTTTTCGTTACTGATTTTTTGGAAGCCGGTATCGAAATTTTTTCAATCTTTCGGGAATTAATTGACCAAATTTGAAAGAATTGTATATGAAGTAGAGATAGAATTTTACGGCAAGCGCCATAATGTGTACAGTTTTTGTTACCGCGGATCTTTTTGGAAACCGGTTTTTTTAATTCTTCCAATTTTTCGGGAAATAATTGATTAAATGTCAAAGAATTATACATGAAGTAGGGGTAGAATTTCCCGGGGAGTGCTATAAAGTGTACTATTTTTTATTACCGATCTTTTTAAAAACCGGTTCCGAATGACCGAATCTCAAAGAATTGTACATAAAGTAGGTACATAAAGTTGAATTTCCCGGGGAGTGCTATCAAGTATATAATTTTTCGTTACCGATCTTTTTGGAAAGCGGTATCAGAAATTTGACGAATTTTTCGGGAAATAATTAATCGAATTTTAAAGAATTGTATTTAGAGAGAGAGAGAGAGAGAGAGAGAGAGAGAGAGAGAGAGAGAGACTATTTGCGTGTCTGATTACATATGTTCTCCGGGGCGAAGCCCGGGTAACCAGCTAGTATATAATAATTGAGAAACATAATTTATTATTAAACAATTATTATTAAAAACTAAATAAAATATAAATATATGTGTCTCTAACATTTTTAACATATCAAATTATATATCATTTTAAATAAAAATAAATATTAGAATTTAGTTATAATTTTACATATATTTAAAATATTGCGTGCTTAATACACAATAAAAAAAAATTTAAATAGACTGATGTTAAATAAAAGTTTGAAAATAATTTTTAATTTAAAAACATATTTACCGTATTATTTTATCGTATTGCCTTCGTATTTTTATTTCACCCAAATCCAACGGTTTAAATGGCTCTTCGGTGAGATAATTAATTAATGCAGCAATGTTTTTGTAACTTAACCACGCGATAAAAATTTTATAACACGAAACCGACACGGTCAACGACTTATTCAAATTGTCGGTGAAGTCGTTAGGATTATCGGTATTCATCACAACATCTATTACTTGCGACAATGTGAAAGCGTATAACATGCTAATTACATACAATCTGTAGACATTGTAAATTGTCCGTTTAAACAAAGACGTCCACGATTGCGGTCGAAAGCATCCAGCGATCATAAAAATTGTACACGTCAGTTTCAGTATGCGCATTATAAAATCTTGTTTGATTAAAGCAAAGATACGTTTATCTTTATCTGTTTATACAACGTGTTTTATCAACTTGGGTACTGATAGAATAATTATAGAATTTTTTACAGCAATTTTAATTCTCAAAATAATTGTAGTCTGACAAAATCACTATTTCGTAAAAAGTGTAAGATGAGATAATATAATTTTAAGAAAGTGCACTGAAAAACGTCTATAGACTGTGACACATAATTCTTCGAAACAATGTTATCGCCAACAATATTTTCTCTTTTCTTCTATAAATTCGATGTCTTTACCCTCGTATACTTGTAATAGAGTAATAATGTCTGCCGAGAGTATACCTAATATAAAACTTGCAGTCATTGTCTGTAATGTAATATTTACGCGAGGTATAGTTGATAGAAATACTTGTGTGTGCAATTTTTATTGCAGAAGACATTATTTTCATTTTTACATCTTGAGTGAGAGGACAAAATTGTAATAAAGTAGGAAACGGAGAATTAACTCTTCAAATATTTATCAATAGATATGATATGAGATACGAGTAATCTTCGTAATATCTGGAAATATGTTTCTTTTCGTTATACAAAGTATTTTATTTATTATCGTTCGCGTCTGGCGTATCACCCAGTATTGATTTCTATTCGCACAACGTAATCAAGAAAAAAGAGTATCATACGGGGTATGTATAGTCATAAGGCTAGAGTCAGATAGGCTAAAATTAATAATCTTAATAATATTTAAATTTCCATGACACATTTTTCATATTTGCAATGATGTAATTAAATCTTTTCCATTTCGAATAGAAGTATGCATGTAATTTTTTACGATTTTTCCAGTATCATCCTGTGTATAAAATTTTTTATTATTTTTTATTATTGTAAGAAAACGTGATTTAAAAATAAATAATTTACAATTTATTATATTTTTAAATATATTCTTATATGAAATAAAGAAAACATTAAAAAAGATCATCAGTTCTTAACAAGTGCTAGAATATTTTTAGTCTTATCTTAATGCAACAATTTCTTGCACTTTTTTATATTCAACAATATTTATTAATAATATTGATTAATAATTATCGTATTCTAATATTGATGTTATTATTAAAGGATTTAACAAATTACGCATTAACGATTAATATTAGCAATATATATTTTACTTGCCGTAATACTTGTCTTCATACCGTTATTCTTTTATTTGTGCTAGCAAATTATAAGCAGAATACGACGTTTTGAGCACCTGCAGTAATTATTAATATATTTAATCTCTTTTAAAATTATTTAGGGAAATAATCCGTAGTGTTAAAATTTATATTTAGTACCATATTTTATAGTTATTAACTATGATAAATGTTACATATAAAATGTATGTTAATAGTGCCCAATATTTTTTTTGAAAAACTTATTACTAAAATTTCATCCAAAAGATAAAAGATAAAAATTTTATTTATTAGAGAAGTTTTATAGCATGCTATGTTTTATACTGACCGCTACAAAAGAGTCTAGGTTCATGTTAAGAATGTGTGCACTGATAAACTCAATAGGCCTCATCGCGCGATTCATAATTATCAAAAGGCTTTTTTTAGTTTTATTATCCAACGCTATCCATTCTATTTCGAATATATTATCGACCAATTGTAGGCTCTGTAAATTCATAAATATGCTAAATGTATTACTATCATCAGGTTCTCATAAAAGAACCCATAAAAGAACTCATAAAAGAGACATGCAATAATATAATTGTCATATTGTATATACATAGATATGTACATATATGAAATTTAAACATACATATATATATGTACATATTATTCGCATAATATAATTTGGATTATTATAAACATGCACACCATTAGTTTAAGTTTATTTCCAAACCAACAGTAAATGAAAATTTGTACAAGTACGCAAAACGTATATGCAAATATCCCAACGAAATATGTATTTAATGTAGTTCTACTTAGTTGGTACAAATTCGAGCACACTACGAATGTACTCGCTACGAATTGAATTGCAATTATTCTCGTGAATCTTGCATTAGTCGCGTATGCATATCTGTAAACCAAAATTGTTTTATAGTAAGCATTACAATTAATTGTATTGGAAAAATTGAAAGACAAAAATAATTGTTACATGTCATTTAATATCTTAATAGTAAAAATAAAAAATAAAGAGATAATATCATTGATTCAAATACGACATATAAGAGCAAAAATAGTATAAACAGAATAATATTATAAAATAATAAATTTTAAAATATATTTTATGTAAATAAGAGAGCTTTAAAATATATTGCCAAATATTTAGAATTAATTATTAAACATTCTAAAATTATAAATTTAACAAGATTTTCACAAGACTAACTCGATTATGTGATGATGTTGGCGTACACAGTCGCTCAGAGTATTCTGGCCATTTATGACACCTTTCAGACGATACTGTAAGATCGTAATCTGACAGCATAGGTGCAGTAGCAGGCCAACAATGAGACTGTCACAAGCAACGTTAACAAAGGACCCAGATATCACGCCTATGTATTGATGAGCGTACGTGAAACAAAATATCACAAACGACGAGTAATCAAACGGTACCCATCCTCTAAATGATAACTGCCTTTTTCTAAAATTTGTTAGTAACGATAGCAAAACGTGGCCTGCGCAAGTGACCATAATCAAGATAGCATAACACATTGCGTAATTCCTATAAAAAATAAGGAAAGTAATTTTGTTCTTATCTTGCAAGACGAAAATTTCTTTTTGTAGAAAAATAGTATTTTTTATATGTAAAATTTATAAGAAATATACATAAAATAATACATAAAATGCAAATAACTTGAACGTACACTGTATATGATATTTATAGAGTTCTCTTATTGTTAGTATAAGAACAAAATATATGAAAAAAAATCTTTGGGAAAATATGCTCGAATGATTTATTTCTAAAAATATTCCGTATTTATAGAATTAATATTCTAATGTATATGTATATCTGCAAGACTTTACTATTATTGACAATTCTTACAAATCAGATAACACAGGATAAATCGGGTGAGATAGTCATAGAGGAGAGATGACCCACCCGTGTTCTTTCAATCTAGCTTGACGTCTAGTATCGAATAGGCCATCTTTCCTCTAAGGCCATCTCACCTGAATTTACTCTAAATAAAGATATAATTTCATACTTACTGTATCATCTTGTCGAATTTACGTCGAATTTCGATTTCGACAGATACTACTGGTTTAAACGTTCCTTCCGTAAGATTGTGAATTAATTCCACGAATCTCTCGTGGTTCACCCATAGATTAAGTATTTTATAGCACGCAGCGAACATGGTCACCATCGTGTATAAGATGTTAGTAAAATCGTCCGGATTGTCGACATTTAGTACAGCATCCATAAACTGCGTGAATGTAAAGCTGTACATTAGGCTAATTATTAATAATGTATACGCGTTATATAATGTGTGTTTGATCAGCGACGTCCACGAGAACGGTCGCCAGCATCCAGCGATTGCGAGAATGACGAGTGTAAATTTCAACGTTTTCATGTTCTTTAAATAATAAAATATTTTTTCTCAGTAAAAACTTCTTTCCTATAAGAAATTTTCACAATTGCATTAACAATATGTACAACAACATAACCAACTATAAGAATTTAATATGTTGTAATGTTTTAAGATGCTCTTCGTGTACTTCGTTTTGATATACGTTGCGTGATGATATTGTTATACATCAATCGCAAGTCAGCTGAGGAGAAAGGCTTTACAGCGTCTATAGCTCGTGCGACGCGACATTTGTTATTTTCCCCTCGAATAAGTAACATTGTTATTATAGCAAGCGTGGACTGATATTTTCAGCGAATTGAAATTTTCCCCGAGAATTCCAATCCTATATTTATATATTGCAATATAAGTGTGCGTAGACAAGAGTTCTGATGTATGAAATCTTGATACATGGTACTCATCCATTACAAAATATTTTATTCATTATTTTCACTGTCCGCGACTTCAGCTTTCCTCAGCCCCCCCAGGATTCTCTATGTTATTCTCGGTGCGTCTATATTGAGCAGCAGACCTATGCATTTTTTATAAACGCGGAAAGCGAAGTATCTTGAATTTATTCGTTTTCGCTGCGTGACACACATCACATCAAATAATGTTTGGATTGGGTGGAAATGATAATCGCAGTAATTTGTTCTTCCATAATCATTTCTGTAGGATTTCGAACTTTAAAATAGATAATAGTAATATACAAATAATATTTGGGAAAAATATTACATTATTATTTCTACTATAAGTTATTATTTTCTATACTTTCTTATAATAAACTATGAATTTTTTTAAAGTAGGTACCAATTTTAACTTGTCAATTATTTATACATTAAATAATATATTATATATAATTTAAATAATATTGCAAGTATTGATTTATTCGTCGATTAACTGGCATAAATGTACAAAATAGCACTACGTTTCGGCTCTTATTTCGAGCCCTTTTGAGTCTCGGAAGTGCTCGCATACAGTTAACATGTCGCGTCCGAGAATCTGCTGTGCGCTTGTAATTACCAAACACCTGCCAGTTATGGCCACGCAGGAACATGCTCGTGAACGCAGGAACGTTTATTAATTTGATGACACAGACCGCACTTGAAAAGGGCTCGAAATAAGAGCCGAAACGTAGTGCTATTTTGTACATTTATGCTAGTTAATTGAGGAATAAACCAATACTTGCTGTTTAATCACTGGCGGACAAAATTAATTTTTTAAGTAATATTATATATATATATATATATATATATATATATATATATATATATATA